AATACTGTAATGCAAGTGCCATTACCGGTGAATACAAATTCATTGAAAAAAACTTGGTAATAAGTTTATAAGAATGTTTATACAATCAGTATAGAAACAGTCATTGTATATTGACTTATGACAATTTCTAGGACTACATAAAAGTGTAAACTGTATAGTATTCTTTATGTTTCTAAATTGCCTTCTGATTGCTGCTCATTATATTTTTGGCAACTTAGTAAATGATACCATGGCACATGTCGAAAAATGGTGCATCTTTTAAGACATATAAAATACATACTATAGTGTTACAAACGATATGGAAGTATCTCCAAGGGACGCATCTCAAGTGGTATAGGACATGTGACCTGTACCGAAGTACTAAAGCAAATTGAGCTGGTAGGTTTCAATAAGATTGAAATGTAATTGTTGACGGATGAAGGTCAATCATCCATACAAACAGCTCCGCTCTGTCATCGATAGAACTACAAATGACAAACATTGTTGTTACCCCTAAAGGGTCATGGAAATGGGAAACACGAGAAAAATCTCTGGATATATATGATTATCAGAAATAGCACATTTAATGTCCAAAATGGCTGCTAGTTGCCTGTGAAATAAAAAAATACATCTAATGTATTTGTAAAAAGTTTGAAAAGGATATATGTCAACAACTGTGTGAGCTATGACTCCTGATATATTCACAGATAGACTGATCGATCCGACCCAAAATAATATTCCTCACTTTCGGACATTCCAAAGCAAAGACTAAAAACAGATGCACCATTATCTATGTCTAACGTTTGGTGCTGCAGTTTCACTACAAGAGATGTCAAAAATCAGAAAATAGCTAATTTTACTCAGATGTTTTATTATTTTTTGTAATGTTCTTTTTAAGGACAACATAAACCAAAGACATTAATGTGTATGTGGGATTTTTTAAAGCACTTAAAGCTTACTGAATGGTATTACAGTCTGAATCTCATTTGTAGTTTTGTCAGTTGTTATAATGTACACAGAGAATCTGTTATTTTCTCGATATTTTTGTGACATAGATACAATATTGTCATACTCTTTGATTGATTGGTCAATGTTGGCTTACCTGATGGTATAGCAGTCAATGCATTGCCATTCATGTTAAGTATTCTCAACTGTTCTAATGCACACAATGAATCTGGTATCTTCGCAATCTTATTGAACGATAGATTCAATGTCTTCATACTCTTCAATTTACTAATCTCATCTGGTATAGAAGTTAATGCATTAGACCCCATGTTAATTTCTGTTAACTTTTCTAATGCACACAATGAATCTGGTATCTTCGCAATCTTATTGAACGATAGCTCTAATTTCTGTAATTTATGGCATTCCCCAATCTCAGATGGTACTATCGTTAGTTCACCATGTTCCAGGTTTAACATCCTCAGGTGTTTATACGAACCAAGTCTTGATAAATCTATAGATTTATGTTTTCCATAGCTGAGATCCAATTTCATTCCCACATGTGTAGCTGTATCTATGAAGACAATTGAAATGTTACACTGTTATAACACATGAACAAAAACGCCAGACCGTGTCAAATGGAAACTAATAAAGTGATCTCAAGTCATTAACATTATTCGCCCATCTAGGTTTTTTACTGAGATAATCTATTTTGAATAAATGTTAAACCCTATAAGATAATAAGAGACAATTTTGTGGTTTGGTACAATGTGATTTATAGAGATTAATTTCATAACAAGATCATCTGAAAAATTGTTGAGGCACGTCTACTTTAGGATTACTAGACCAATATGACATCAGGCTCTATGGTCAAACCAAAATAAATGAATAACCATAAAAGTTCAGTAAATAGTTCGTACAGGTTACGTTTCCGTATTTATGTTAATAAACCTACCTAGTCTTTCTCAACTATATGTCATACATATGTTATGTCTACTTTAGGATTACTAGACCAATATTACATCAGGCTATATGGTCAAACCAAAATATATGAATACCATATTTTTACAGTAAATATTGTTATATGCATGTCAATAAAATATACCAACCTAGTCGTCTTCTATAACTATCTGTGAACTTCAAGACCTAGCTGTCTCAAAGAAATGTTATATGATACAATCTGCGAGTGTGAGGTGAGATGCTTTTTATCATGTTCAAATGCAACTTGCCTTTTGTACTTAGATCAGTTGTCATGCCTCGTCGTCTCCTCATCCGCCATTTGGTACTATATCCTGCAACTAAAAATGTATTCATATTATTAAATGGTATGTCTTACATGTACAATACACATGCCGCACTGATGAATGAACACATGCACGATGGTAAACTATAAGTCTCCACGTTCGAAACACTTTTCATACCTTTTTAGGGTTTAGTCTGTTAGGTTTAGGTCATATGATTGACTGCAGACAATCAATACTGTAAATAACTTGCATGACCATGAATCTTACAATCAAAACCTATGAATCCTTTATCTAGCAACATTAATGTTTTAACCTTTCAACTCTACTTTTCCAGTTACAAATCAGTATTTTGTCAGTATTTTTTTCTGTTTGTAGAACTTGAACATATATCATATATGAATCTTTCGCGTATGTGGAATATAAGACCAGATAGTACAATTTCATTTCCGGATAAAACAATGTCATATATTTATTTGTTTGTTTATTTTCTTTTGGTGCATATATTTCATTGCTTTTCGCATTGTGGACAGAATTGAAAACAATTTCAACGCAATATTTTGTTATTTTTCCACTTCAAATCTAAAGTAAATAATTTTCCGTTGATCTGTATTGTAACACTGAACACGGTAAAATTACCAGCTGACAAAATTGAGAACTTTATCTTGGAAATCACACATAAAGACATTGTTTTTACTCATTAATGAATAACCATTCACTCCGCGCTGCTATCCTGGATCTCGATGAGATTCCCCTTTGTCACCCAGCATGCACCATATTTGATAATATTTGTTACCAACGAGTGTGTATTAAAAACTGCAAATATAAATAGCATTTTGTTTCACATTGTTGCCTCTGATAGGCAAAGTCTCTCGGATGTAGTGATGCTGCACCCCTGAAAAATGTTCTTGTGGAATTTAATAACATAATAAAAATAGTAATCGCGCAGTAACATAACTCGAAAAGTTGGAGTGTATATTTTGCCAGTTTGTTTATTACGTTTAGTCATTTTGGCCACAGATGACGCTGTCTGTATTTGATAGATTTGATATGTGTGACTATTTGAAAATGAAATCTTCCTGAATAAATTAACATTTTTCCTGCTACCTGTCACAATTAGCATCTTGAGACGTGTGTTGCCATCTCATGATAGGTAGGAAAATCCGTTACAAGCTACACGTGCTTCTACCAGCTATAGTATCCTACATGGTGAAGTTGCCGAATCTCCATAGCTGTCATCTGTACAAAATCCAATGTCAAACAACATCTAGATATTAAATCGTGCTACACAACTAACATCATCATATGGAACTGGGTCAACAAGTAAAGTAGTATTTGACGTTGTTATTCCTGTGTTATTGAGTTCTCCGTTACTTCATTTAATTATTAATGTAATTATTGCTTTAATACCAATATATTATATATTTGATTTTGGCTGCCTTATATCTGTATTATGTTGGACGTCTCTAGCATGCTATAGTACCTTACAGTAAGATTTACCTTGTTACGTTCCGTAATTGAGATGGAATAATAGGCTGCTTCGGTGTTATTAGACCAATTTGAAATTCAATATAACATGGTCAACAATTTTATGGGATATATTATTTCTCATTGTTATGCCATTTCGATATTCAAACTAAAAAACTAAGTAAAATGTATGTATCTAGTATAATTGTAAGTGTGTTATTTGTTATTTCGGCATTTCACAATTGTGAGAGATTGAAACGTGGGTATGAAATAAGTTTGTACCCAATGACTAACTAGCAATTTATTCATGATTCCATCCATTAACAAACAAACTTGGTTATACACATGAAGATATAGAGGATTTCAAACATATTTCCATGTGACAAGGGATTTGTTCAACTTAACACATTGACAGCTGACAGCCTACATGTTGGTCACGGGGTAATGTGTTAATTTGCATATAATGCATAAACTCAACTTTCCTCATAGTCATAATTTGTTGTATACATTTCAAGATAAAATTTTGTTATTTATGAATTTTGACCTGTTGGCTGATATAGCTCTAGTCTATACAATGTGTTTTACAATTGAAAATAGCCTCAAATTAGAAAGTTAAAATTGTTACAAGTTGAACAAATCTGACCAAGGTTTTCTACACATACATATTGCAGCAACTGGGCTAGCCATTTTCAAGATAAAGTCGAAAATAACATTTACTATAAATTACAAATATTCATTAAAATTACATAATTACAGGTAAAGTCACAAAATTAACAAACTGATTATGGTCAACTGGAGGTGTCATATGAAATATCAAAGCACACGTGCTAGCGGTTTTCAAGAAGTCAAAGATAGCATTTGTTAACAGAAATTGATTTGAACATATCCCCACAAAAAGAACAGATCTAACATAGATCAACCCATAGTACCTACATACCAAGTATCAAAGCTGGTATATTTCGAGAAGTCTAAAATGCAATTATGGGCAGAGGACTGGTAATTATCTATATGAACAGCTCGACTCGACAGCAGAGCTAAGAAATATGGATGTCAGTCAGCCGTTTTGGTTCGAATACATTCAGAACCTATTGTTTGTGCACATGTTACACAAAGTACTCGACACATGTGACGAATGAATGGATTTGGTTATAAAGGTTCTGAACATTACTGCGAATGAACAGAAGGAGACAATTATCCCTGATTTCAACTTCATTGACTAATGGCTTGAATTGTTCAATGCTAGATTAACTTAGAAACAAACTTATGGCTTATGGTGTAATACGAATGTCAATTGAATACCATATCTGCTAGAATGTTATTACTGACTTACAATTCTTACATATACATTCTCGTACAAGAGGTTACACTACTGTATTCAGTGTACATTCGTGTCGGTAATAATATATAGGATTTTAATTACTTACCAAAGTATATACATGTTTTTCTGTAATGCATCAGTGATACATGTTTGCATTTCCTGCAAGGATGATAGCGTAATAATCTTCCAATGTGGTCAGGTACTGTCTGCAGTTTATTTCCACATAATGATAACTCGCATAAAGGCAGTTCTTCAATAACCTGCCATGGAAATTCCTTTAACTTATTTTCGTTCAGTCTTAGATGAATCAGCTTTAACTTCTTTATTCCTGATAAATATAAAGAATGCAGAATTTAAATTTCATGACAGTTGACAAATTTCCAAAAGCACACTACAATTTGTTTTAATTAGTAAATTACTATTAAATTTCTTATTCAAATATTCCGACATTTTGTTTCAACGTGATTAAATTTGATTTATGTTAATAATAAAGCAAAACAAATCAGGTATGCAAATAGAACAGTTCTAAAGAAAACAGCTTAACTAAAGCCCTTTCACATCCCGTGTTGACTGTGTTTTTTTTCAAAATGAGATACTAGAGCAATGCATGAGAAAGAAAACCAATATTCTGTTCAGTTGAGTCAATAGAAACATGAACAGAATGTCACCACATTTCTGTTTTATCTGGATTAAGTAAATTGCGATTAATAATTGTCCGTGAATATACCAATTGATCTATATGTTACTCATTTGCATGAGCTCTCATTACCGAAGAATGTGTGAAAGTTCCTGAGCCTGGAATGCTCACTAAGGTAGCAGGATAATCTTTTGCTAGACAAATTCCGGACAAAAAGAAAACTAATCAGAACATGATGGCTAAAACTTACCATACCTATGCATTTATGAAAAACTTAAATTTTGCCAGAAATTTTCGGAAAACACTCATTTGTGTTTGTTTTAGGGCCACAAAGATGCGATAAATGGGTGAATGAATATTTGAGGACAAAATTATTTCTGTTCTTCAATCATTACACTGACAAGATTTTATGTTTGTATCAGAACATGATGGCCAAAACCTATACATCAAACCTATACATTTATGAAAACGCATTAATTTTGCACAGGGTCACACAGATAAATGGGTAATTGAATATTTGAGGACAAAATTATTTCTATTCTTCACTTATTATAGCGAGGAGATATTTTCTAGTGAAATTGTATCAGCAATACTTTTGCAAAATAAAAACGAAAACTGTTGTAAAAAAATTTGAACATTTTTTAAACGTTTAGGTATACTCTTGAATTTTTGATAGAACTTAAAT